AACTCTAACTAGAAGTACCGAAGCGAGCCGTGCGGCGGAAAAAAAGGAATTGGATCGGTGTGCGCGGGGCGCTCTTTTATTCCCTGCCGGGGCTGGGCGGGGTTACCGCCAAAACTTGAAAAGTTTTAAAATGTAGAAGTTTCCGTGGGAGCCCGCGCAGGCGCAGTCTCTCCACAAGTGTGCATTCGCAGAGACCACGAAGAAAAAACTAAATTGCATACTCCCCCAGTCTCACTGCTAATGAGCTAGACCTGTGGGCTGCAGCAGGGATGGCAAATCTCAATTTCTCCAAGTCCTGACAGATGTTGAGGACAATGAGGATGTTTTTTCGGTTGCTTGAGAATCACCCAACTCCCCAATGAAGGAAAATTGCAAATTTTCTGAGTAAGCTGTGCACCCTCCCCAAACTACTGTAGTTTTCCAGTAGCTACATAGCTTCTCTGAAAACTGCACGGCTTTCAATACAGAAAGAAAAGTATGTTTTGTGGAAGATTGCTTTGTTTTTAATAATAAGCACCCAATTTTGCACAAAAAAGCTGCACAACAAGACTTGCACAACGAAACTACATGGCCTCTTGTTGCACAACATTGAGAATTTTGCCCTACATCCTTGTGTGCAACATAGCCATTTTTGACAAAAGAGCAGCAACACTGCACAAAATCAGCATTGTTGCACGACAAAAGCATGTGGCTATTTTTTTGTGGAACATTTCTGTTTTCTATGTAAAAACAGCAATAGTGTTGCATAACAAAAATCAACAATGTTTCATAACAAAACCACCTGTGACTGCACTTCATTTGGCCCAAGTTTCTTTTTTTCCTACTTTACCATTTGGCTTGTACAACTTTCAGATTAGGACTATAGCCATGATACTGAATGCTCCATCCCATTGTCTGTACAGTGGAACCTTGACTTTAAAATATCCCAACTCAAGAGTGTTTTGAATTAAGAGCTGTTGCTCAGCCAGGTTTCACTTTGACATAAGAACAGAATTTTGAGTTAAGAGCTAGCACCAGAGGGGATGCTGGCAACAGAATGCAGCGTTAGGGCTTCAGTGTCTCATGCTTCTGTGCCTTGTGCTTTTGTCCATTTTGGGAGATTGCTGTCCACTTTAATCTTGTTCACTTTGAGGAACTTTGGGTTAGTTGATTTTGTGTGGTTTTTATTCCTGATATGTTTGGCTTCATGAAAAGAGATAGAGCAAAAGGGAGGGAGGCTGAAATGAGTACAGTATGAAGAAAATGTTGCTGCTGTCTGTTTACATTGTGCTTTGTGCTTCCTTGCCACAACTTTGTGCCTCCTCCATTTTAAAGTTGATCTTTCGTTTTTATTGTTTCATATAAATATGCATTCATACATTATTTGTTATTTATACAGTACATTTTCCTATTTAAAAACACACAACAAAAATGGGGGGAGGTGTCAGGGGGCTGGAATGGATTAATAGCATTTCAATGGGAGAAATCACTTTGAGATAAGAGCACAGTTAGAAAAATTAAACTCTTAACTCAAGGTATTACTGTATATCTAAATGCATTTCTTTATTTTCCTCAAAGATATAGTGAAAAACAATGCATGTGAATGAAGGGTATCTCTCCCCACCCCCAAGCTGTTTTTTTGCGGGAGGGGGAGCATAGTAAAAAGGCTACAAAGCAGCATAGTTTCCCAAATTCTTGTGCAATTCTCAAAAACTGCATCTTATAATGTGTTAGGAACAAAAAAGCTCTCACAATTTGCTGGAACTTTTGACATGCCTCTTTTTTCTTCCCACATCAGTTTCTCAAGGGATCCAGAAATTAAATTCAGCCACAGTTGGGCAACTGACACATTTCTGTTCCATCCCCAGGGTCTAGTCAGTGCTGTTACTATGCAATTACAAAGCTCCTACTGCTTGTAAAAAACTTGAGTTGTCATACACACATCATTTATTTCACTTGCACAAACTACTTAATTTCTTTAACTTGCAAAAACTTCAACATGTAGAACCACTTCTGAATTAAATGGCAAAAGCGAAGCTGCTTGCTTCTGAAGTTGTTAACCTTCTAAAAACAAGAAGTGAAAGAGAGGATTAAGAGACAATTTTGCACTTACAGACCAAGGGTGGTATAACAAGACCACAGAGCAATGACAGCATTCTAGAGTCAAATAGACAACATTTATACTAGTAGCTGTACTAGTATGGAATTAAGCTAAGAGATTTCACTCTTTTTAAAGCATCGTTAAATACTTGCATCTTAATTTAATTTTCTTTCTCAGGGAAGCTATAGGTGATTGTCCTACAGGGGAAATGTTTGCTCCCTTCTCATTCAATGCAAAGGCTAGCACCCCAAGTACATTTTGGAGTCCCTTCCCAGTTTCATGAGTTGATTTTGTTCAAACAATGTGGGAACATATATTCATTAAGGAACTAAATGTTATAAGTCTGCTGTTTTCCTTGCATGCTTTATCATGTGGTAGCATCTTCATATTAAAAAGATTGTATTCCAAAATATATTGAAAGGAATAATACACAAAAACTGATGAGAACTCTTTTTTTTTTACTGGACTCCCAAGGGAGGACAGACTGCCTTAATTCTGGGAGTGAGCCATGATAGAGAAGATATGGTTAAAGCCTTGCTGTCATCTGGTGCTGATATAAATCTCCAGGATGATACCGGCTTGTCACCACTAATGGTTGCTTCTCAGTATGGCAATATGGATATAGTAAAGCTTCTCTTGGATCATCCAGGCTGTGATACTACACTAAATGACAAGGTGAGGATGCCTGCCTATATTCTTTGAAATGGGGTCAATTACCGATATCCCTGAAATTCTTTGAATTGGTGTAAACCTTTGGACCATTCTGGCTTTCATTTTCTTCTCTATTATATAGAGTGTTTTTTCTTCTTTCTTCCATAATCTGGAATTTATAAAACTGTTTCTGGAAGTGATAGAACAACTAGAAGATCTCCATACAATCAAGTGACCCTGAATTGGTTGGATTTGGAGTAACTGGTAGCTTACATGTCAGTGAAACAATGGCTGCCAGTGAAACCAGGCTATTCTGGTGTAAATCTGGCCCAGAGCAGTACCCAGATCTAGCACATATATGCTGAATGAGCCGGAACCACACCGGCCCTGCTGGGTTGTCACCTTGTTCTCCATATCACCACCACTATTCCTTGACAGCCACGGAGCTCTGTCTGGCACTTGGCCATGACCTGTTGTGTCTGCTTATGTCAGAAAAGTGGACCCACTCAATTAGCAAAAAAGAAGTGAGGACAACCCCCTCCTTGCTGGTCTTCAGGTATGCCATTGTGATATCAGGAGATTCAACCATAATGGCCACATGCTTGCAGGGAACTCAGTAGCTGAGGATAAGCAGAAGCAGCAATGGCATGGGAGGAAGCCACCCCCTTCCCCTGTACTGATCAACACAGGGAAAGGATGATGGTAGTAACATCTGTCGAGATAGGATACTTTGGAGCATGGCCGTAGCCAGAAAAGAATTTCAGGGAGGGTTGAAATTGGGGCGGGGGGGGTTGAAACCTGCCTTCTAGCTCACGCTGAAGCAAAGAGCACAGCAGGGGGCAGAGCAGCCTTCAATAGCCTGCAGCTCCGCCCCTGTCAACCACCTCCACCAAGTCTGGCCTCCTTAATGAGAACATTCAACACCCCCCCCCCCCACTTGGTTGCTTCGCTACATCGGCTATTGCTGCAAGTAATGGCAGTGTGAATAAATTGTCAATATTTGCTTGAGATAGTGCTTGCAGTTCTGGAGGAACTCTTAATTTTTTGCGTCTCATAGACTTAGCATGGGGATTTGGTTAACCAGTTAAAATTCATGAGTAAACCAGGTTTTTTTTAACCTGAAAATTTTCGGGGGGGGGGGGTTGAACCCCTACTCCCCCCCCCCACTTGCTACAGCCCTGCTTTGGAGTTTCTACCAAACCTCAGAGTATTCCCAAATTTGCCTAAAGGGGGGCAAAGTAGTGCCCAGAAGTTGTGCATGATGGAGACATATTGCAGTGAATTCAGGTTTTCTGGCCAGTGTAGACAAGCCCAATGAAATTGCTCTGGGTTGTATTCTAAATTTTCCGAATAGGTCCAGCGGTTTGAATGACTCCTTTCAAGCTTGAGCTAAAACTTGGAATGCATTCTCTGTTACACTGTGCTGAGAGCTACTAACTAAAACTGGGTAAAATTTAGTCCTGTGACTACTCATCCAGGTAGATGAAATATACATCTGCTTTTGTAGTTTGCTTTACATCAGAAAAAGGAAAGTTTATTTATCCCAATCAAAGCTAGAGTGAATGCTATGATAAATGAGCTCCAGATGAGCCTTATCAAGCCTGTAGTGAAACTGTCTGGGTTTTAAGCAGACTTTTTAACCAAACAGCTCTGAGTAAAGGCCATGACTTGCAAAGTGCCTTTAATTGCATGCACATGGATGCAGCTGGGAACCATCAACATTTCCTCCAAGAAAGACTTTATGTTTACTCTACATGAAATGTAGGGCCTGCTTTGTCAATGAAGAAACAATTCAAAGACTCAGGTTCTGGTGTTTTGAGTTAATTTGATGATCTGTGGATTGGTCTGTAAAAATGTGGTCAATAAACTAAAGAAATGCTATTCTGCACTACTTTTGAGGTATTAAATCTACAATACTACCTCTGAAAGTTGCTGATTCATAATTGTAATTGCACCTCACCTCTGAAGTTGCCTGCCATAGATGCAGGCGAAATGTTAGGAGAGAATGCTTCTAGAACGTGGCCATATAGTCCGAAAAAACCCTACAACAACTCAGTGATTCTGGCCATGAAAGCATTTGACAGTAGACTGAGCCTTTGCTTCTTCATAGCAAGTCCTTTATTGTTATCCTTGTCGTTAGGCCATCTTTTCCTTTAGCAGCTTGTTCTCTGGGAAATGTAGATGGCCAAGATTACTGGCATAATAATAATCTTCTTTTGTTTTCCTCCCTCTGTAGGCTGGAAATTCTGCTTTGTCCATGGCTTTGAAATCTGCCCACGTAGAAATTGCAGAGATCCTCCAATCCCACAAACAGCACAGTTGGCCTCTGAATACATAAAAGGAAATGGGAAAAGGATATCTGCAGAAATGAGAAACTGATATTAAAAGACTCATTCTTTTAGCCGACATATAACCAATTTGTATGCCAATGATCATAGCTGATGACTGCTGATGTATCTACTTAAGGAAAGGAGGGATCATATCAGATATTTGAATACATTTTGAATAGATGAGTGATTCCCTTAAGTCTGCTTCTTAATCTATAGCTGTTAGCACAAATGATCCTTAGATTATTGCATTGCCTTTACTTATATTCACTGTACTTACAGAGGTCTCGTGTCTTGTTAAACAGTAGTAGCTTTGAGCTTATTTTTATTTCTCAAAGCATAACTTTTGGATAAGCCCAGAGAAGAGATTTACTAGACTGTGAGGATAGTTCTTTGTTTTTTAATCACCCAGTGGCTATATAAGGGCAAAGTGCTTTCAGAAATCAAGCTAAGCCAGAGTCACTGAAGATGTAGTTACATGGGGTGATTGTGAGATGCGTAAAGTATGAAGTCATCTGATATCAAGATAAAGCTAGACATAGATGCCTTTTTGATGAGTAAATTCTGTTTTCATTCCTTTCTTACTGATCCCACTGTTTTTCTATTAAAGGGAATGCAAAAAGTACCCATCCTTCTCCGTACCATGCAAGAGCAGATGATCACATTAGGAACAAGGGAAAACTACTAGTACAGTACCACTAGTTCTTATAGGAGCTGCCAGACTGAAGTCGTAGAACATGTTCCCAGTATTATTCCAAGGGCCTTGAGTAATACCAGTTGTGCTGAAACCCACACCTAGGAGCCTAAACAATACTTGAGAGTCGGTTGGATCACAGAAGGGACTAGGATCTGAAAAAGGTGTCCCCTCCAGCCTTCTTCATTTCTTCATTGTTCCAGAGGCTTTCTCAACTTTCTGGAATAGTAGTGTGTGTGATAGTTGAAATCTAAAAGTTTCCATTCCATAAACAGAGATTTCTTTCATAAAGATATTTCCAATTCATGCCATGGCATGAAGTAGTTTTTAAAAACCACTAATGTGTAGAGTTATTAGTTATTTTATAGCTGACTGAGATCCTGCATCATCACTTTCTGCATGATGGAATTATACCCTGCTCTCCCACTTCCTGTAAGGACACTCACCAGTCACCTATGGTTTAATGTCTTGGCCATTTGGTGGCTACAGAGTGGCTGGGGGTAATCACACGGCATTTTTCAATGTTCTTGTGGCTGGCCACACAACAGTATTGTTCCATAACCCCCCCCCCCCAAGATAATCTCTATGTGTCATGCATCAATGTGTATGAACACAGGAACATGTAGGAACATAGCAAGAGTGTGTCTTGCACACTCCACACAACCATTAAATGTCTGGGGTGGGGCACAGAGGAGAGGTGAGTTGAATTGTTAGGGGATCATTGCACAAGGGAGCTAATGAATATCACTCCCTGCAATAAACTTTAAAAGAAATATATACGCATAAGTGCAGTTGAAATCAGTGTATGTCACCAACAGGATGTCAGCCAATTTTATGGTACTTGTTAGTTCACGGGTAATTCAATAGTAATGTTTTACTTTTTAAAAAATACTTAAAAATAAACTGAAATGGCCAAAATTCTCTACCCCCAACCCAACTTTCTAAAAGGGATAAATGAACATTATTCATGAAACTGATTTTATTCAAAGTAATAGCACAGGTCCTTTTGTAGCTTTGCACAAATAATATTGTTGTTCCCTCTTACTCTTTTCAAAAGTAACACATTCTATGAATAATATTCATGTATGTAACATGTTACTAGTAAGCACAGCTTTTCTCTGGTCTCCAGATCAGCCATTTCTATGAGATGTGTCTTTGAGTTCATTATGGTGTATGTTTGCTTGCCCTTGCTAGGGAAGGGTTGTACAATGCACAGCTTGTTGATAGCATGTCATACATTGTCCAAGAAGGGGATGGTACAGAGCATTCCAATATAGGTGCTGACACTGGTACATCATCTCATTGGACCAGGCTTTGAACCATAATTTTGCTTAGAAATGGAAAGTCCCACATAATCTCTTATAGCATATGTTTTTTCCAGTTTGGCTACAAGCACAGTAGTAAAGCAATATTTTTTGAAAAAATGTTTTTTTTCTAACTTTAAAAAACAAGTGTTATTTGTAAACAGCTCTCTCAAAGCATGCCTTAATTAAATTGTAAATTGTATTGTGCTATTTATTGACTACTGTAAGTTAGCAATTATTCAGTATACATCAACAAATATAGATTGGATAGATTATGCTAAAACATTCTCAACTGAGTTTGGTTTTTATACTAGCATAATTGAAAGCTAATTATTTCGATCAAGATGTGCAGAAATAAACTGGGATCAACTGGAAAGTCACCATTGGCCCTTAGATCCTACACAGGTAAAGTGCTATAATTTCCCTTTAACTGCCATGCCAATGTCCTATGGAACACTAGTGTTTTTTTAATTTAAGGAGAAGCATATAGTATAAGTATTTTCAACCAGAGGGTTTCACAAATGTTACACTAAACTACAGATCACAGAAATCCAAAGGGTGCAATGGATTATAGCATTTTAATTGTGTGGTGTGAGAGAATCCTAAGTGATTTTCCAGAGATCCGCATGGAGTTTAACACTAGTGATAGTAATGACAGCAATAACATTGCTGATTGTTTTAAGTTTGGAGAAAATGGGGAATAGATTAGTGTGCAAAATTGCAATTTGGGTACTAAATATCATTTTCTGGGCTGAGCATGCCCAACCTCTTCTACAATTATGTGTCCATCTTCTAGAGACCCTTCTTTGTACATAACTCTGGGTCTTGATGTTTCAGAGAAAAATTAAATCATACCAATAAATCTAAAGTCTGTCTACCCTTGATTGAGAAAAACAGTTGAATGTATCAGACCCAAAGGTATACATATATACACAAACACAACAGCCTATATCTTCATAAAGCCCAGATACGATATTTTTCTATCACTTTGGAATTACCATAGATATTGTTCTCTCGTGTTTCCCTATTGAATATGAATTAACCAGCCAAGCTGAAACTTTTGAAGTGACTCTTCTCACTTGAAGTTTATTCTCAGTGGAAACATTGTGATATGATATGCTGCCTTTTTGTGTTGAGTGAAGCACAAAGAACAAAATGACTGTCATAAACTTGTTGTGAGAATTATCATTGTCTGAGATATTTTCATAATTGGGTTATGTAATGCTATTTCTCATTATGGCTTCATATGGACGATTCCTTTTGGGCAAACATCTGTTCCCTGGTTTCATCAGGCTTAACTGCTGGAAATCCCAAACCTGGGAGATGGAAATCTGTTGTAGTAATTGAGCTGCCATATTGTTCCATTTACTGGGTAACCTTCCAACCACAGAATAACCAAACTTCTTCCGTAGGTCTGGCAGCCTTCCTGAACACGCTCAAAATGCACACAGAAGTCAAACCGTCCTCGATTTTCCATTGTTCAAGAACATTCTGTAGGCCAAGAATTGCACAACCATTCTCATTAGAGCCTCCTCCTTTTTGTTTTGTAAACTATTTTGTTAAACTGATCATCTAATTTAAATTTCATGATTATAATATCTGGTTTGTAAATGCCATGCTTGAAGCCAGATAATTTGGTGGATGGGATGCATGTCAAGATCTCTCTTGCTTAACATTTTGAATGGTGTTTGCTGGAAGGATTGTTTCACAGTCACCTATTGTTTTATGCAAATAAATAAAAGTAGTTACAGTGCTATATGCAAACAACTTTTGGAAGTCAGGTGTCCTTGTCAAGCTGGAGTGGTATTATCTAAGTTGGGTAGGCAAAGTACCCATTGTTGTTGCTTATTTGTTCATTCGCTTCCAACTCTTTGTGACCTAATAATCCACACTACGCCAGGCTCCCTGTCAGCTGTGGCCACCCCAGTTCCTTCAAGGTCAAGTCAGTCACTTCAAGGATAACATCTATCCATCTAGCCCTTGGTCGACCCCTCTTCTTTTTTCCTTCCATTTTCCCCAGCATCGTTATCTTTTCCAAGTTTTCATGTCTTCTCATTATGTGGTCAAAGTACTTCATCTTTGTCTCTAATATCCTTCTCTCCAGTGAGCAGTCAGGCATTATTTCCTGGAGTACAGACTGGTTGGATCTTCTTGTGGTCCAAGGCACTCTCAGAATTTTCCTCCAGCACCACAGTTCAAAAGTGTCTATCTGCCTTCGCTCAGCCTTCCATATGGTCCAGCTCTCGCATCCATAAGTTGCTTCGGGGATATCATTGCTTTAACTATGCAAACCTTCATTGCCAGTGTGATGTCTCTACTCTTCACTATTTTATCGAGATTGGTCATTGCTCTCCTCCCAAGAAGTAAATGTCTTCTGATTTCCTGGCTGCAGTCTGCATCTGTAGAAATACAAAATCTGTCACTGTCACTAAAGTGGCCATTAACTGCATACAATTCTCAGGGTCAGATTTGTGCTTTCCCAGGCATTATTCATATGTATATATATATGGGGAGCGGGGGAAAGAAAATTTTGCCCTTGATTACTTTCAGGACTGTAGAGGGAATTCCACAATATTTGGAACCTCCTTCCCAAGTTTTCAAAGGATTTGGGGGCATACTCGAGCTGAAAGAGTAGGCATCCCATCTGAAATCCTGTGGCTGCCTCCATCAGCACTCTGGGGATTGTAGTTTAGTGAGACCCAGGACCTCTTTGGCTGAGCATTTTAAAGACCTCTCACCTAAACTACAAGCTCCAAAATTTTGCAGGAGACAGCCACAAGATTTCATATGGGCTGATACTGGCCTAAGGGCTAATGTTGCCCCATAGCCCTCCATATTTGCATACTGCGATATAAAAAAAGAAGCTACTCATCCCATGGCATGGATAAAGTTTCTTTAGCTAAACATCTACATCCATAAATGTAATGAGTGTGACTGCAGAAAGCACAAGAAGTTTCCAGGCTCTTCAGAGTGAGAAGGAGAATACTTTCCTCACTACTGCTTCCTTTATTATACCAGCAAACTCAAGCAAGTTTTATGAATTATAGCATGATTCTTTCTCAAGATTGCAATAGGTCCTACATATCTGCAGATTCTGTTTCCATTGATTTAACTATACGTGGCTTTAAAATCCTACCTTAATAAAATTTCAAAATGCAAATCTTGATTTTGCTATTGTCTATAAGAGACACCATTTTACTGTGCCATTCTATATAATGAGTATACATGGATTTTGATATCTATGGATGGACCAAATGCCATTGGATGCGAATAATCCACTATAATTTGGATGTACAATTATATTATTAATATTGACTGTGTTGAGAGATAATAGAATCCCACAAGATGCCTTAATTCTCAGGTTTGCATGCAGTTCTCTTACCTGTCATTGTTTATATGCTGGAGAATGCAAACCTTCTGATTTTAAGATAGCAGAGTTAGAAATCTGCTTTTTGTGGGGGTTAAAATTAAGATTAGTAAAAGCAAGTCTACTCAAACTATTTTAGTTATAAAATCAAGCTATAATTTAAGCAAACCATAGGTTCCTGTGGTTGGAAACCCTAAAGTACCATAAAATCAGAAGTGGCTCTTGCTCTGGCATGCAATAGAGGAAGAAAGAAGGTGGGAACTGTGGGATTCACTATGGTTAATTCAAATGGCAACAAACTTAGTTGGCATTCTATTCATCAGTCATGATACAAAATAGACATGCTATCCCAACTATAGGAGATTGCTGAATTACAAAATGTGACCCCAGCAAAAACCTACCATCATACACTGGGAATGGCCTAACCAAAGCATTTCTGAGATGCTGGAAATGAAAGCACTTGGAAATGATATCCATAGCATGCTTCCAACCATGGACTGCTTTGAAACAAGCAGTTGTAGGAGGACAATGAGGTGTCTTCTCAGCTGCCTGTTCTCCAGACATACTGTGAACAGGAACAGATTGTGGATGTCATGTCCCACTGCCCTAAGGTCGGAAACATTTCTGGCTGTGAAACTAGGCTTGGAAAAGGAGAGAGATTTTCAGTTGTACCTGTGATGACGGAGTAATGATGATACCGGATCTTGGGGTCTTGATATGTATCTAGTGGTCATATTCTAAAACAGTGACTCCAAAACTATGATTCTCCAGGTGTTTTGGTCTTCAGCTCCCATAATCTTTTACCAATTACCAATGTGGCTGAAGCTCTTGGGAAATGAAGTCTAAAACACCCAGAGAACAGGAGTTTGGGAATCATTGTCCTTAAGTGCTTTGAATACATCTCCTACAATGGAGTTTTCCACACCCTCTCATCATGGAAATTGTAGTTTTTCAAGGCCTCCCAGAGTGCTGGGCCTCCATCACACTACAGTTCCCAGTTAAACTTGCATCAAACTGCATTAATTCTACAGTGTAGATACACCCATGGACTTTTATATTGTTCGAACAGAAAGAAAGCTATGCTTGCTTAGTCTCTGAATTCCTCCATCTGTTAAAGGCAGGGAGTTTCTGTCAAGAAAAAGGCAGTAATTTACTCGCAGTAGAAGCCACCATCCTAAACAGAAAACTTTTTGAGCCATTTGAAATATAAAAGCAACATTCTTTTGCGATGCCTATGGTATAATCAACTGACATTATAATTAATAGTAGCCGTTAAGGGGGGAGAATAGAATGAGTCCTGTGTCAACTTACATTGTACATTGTTATTAAGATGGTGATTTAAACAAGTTGATGGAGCCGCTATTTAAATCTTTATAAGTCTACCATAATTGCACAAATGGAAAAGCTTTATAAAATGTTTCAACAATGTCAGGGCTGATAAAAGTAGTCATAAGACTTCAAGAGGTAACCATTGAATAGAACTTTGTAGAGTTCAAAAAAACAAAAAATTGAGAAATGAGTTAGGGTGAAGTAGTGGTGATCACAAGAGAATGAAAGAATACTTTAAAGATGTATGGCTCTTATTGAGCTGTCTTTTGTTAGAAATAAACAATGGGAAGTTATGCAGTTGCAATAAAATTCAACTATTCTTGACATCTGAATGGCTTTTTTGATCTCTGTTTCTTTCCACTATTCTGTCTTAGAATCATAGAATCATAGAGTTGGAAGAGACCTCATGGGTCATCCAGCCCAACCAGTCCAACCCTCTGCCAAGAAGCAAGAAAATTGCATTCAAAGCACCTCTGACAGATGGCCATCCAGCCTCTGCTTAATAGCCTCCAAAGAAGGAGCCTTTCCCTCTCTCTCATTTCTTCCACCACTTTCCTTGTTGAAACTGATCTTATGGATTGTACTTTTTTCAACACTGACTGTGAAAGAAACACTGCACAATTATGTTGACTCTGCTTGACTTGAGTTACTCAACTGTTATAAGGAGGAACAGGTTCGAACCTTGCTCTGTTTCTGAGAGCTTGAAGTAATCATACAATTCATTACTGTCCCCCAGGAAAGAAAACACCCAATTTACCCTGAGGACAGCTGACCTCAAACCTTCCTAAAACAGACCTGTTGAGTTAGTTTTAATCATTAAACAGTAGGTTATCCATTTTTTTCCTCCATGTCAACTCCTGAATTTCTTACAAAAAGTGCACACAATTTGTGAGACGCTAAACCTGACACATAGTGGCCCAGACAGCCAAAAAGTAACATGATGTGATAATCTTTTCCAAAATAAATGGAGGTGAGAAAAATCAAGTGTAACATAAATGAAAATGGTCATGGAAATGCCAATGTTGTGAACCAAAAGCAAACAAACAACAACAAACAAAAGTAATGCAGAAATGTATTATGTAAGAGTGAGTTTCCCCATGTCATAATTAAAACTCAAAATAAAATAAATGAAATAGCCAATTCAATGAGACACAATGAAAAGAGACACCAAGTTTAACGATGCACTGGGAGTCTTTGCTAGAGAAGGCTAAAGACCTTGTAAAACTACAGCACCCAGAATTCCATAGCAGTGAGCCATGTCAGTTAAACTGCATTCATTCTACAGTGTAGAATGACTTGTTCATAATTATTCCATGACTTTCTTCAAGATAAATTTACAGTGCTACAGAGGCCTTTGACAATCCGTTTCCAAACTCCATTACATGGAAACTTATTATTTATTTATTTCACAGTTTTGTATACCGAGCTTCTCAACCTCGTTGAGGGACTCAGCCCGGTTTACAGCCATAAAAACATATACATTCATTAAAATATCATATATCACAAATTACACATCAACTTTAAAATACACTAAATATAAAACTACAGTGGTCAGTCGTCCTATTAAGATGGATCTATATCCACTTCCATCCAGAGTCCTATGGTGTTGTCTCATTCCTCGAAGGCCTGACTCCACAGCCACGTCTTCACCCGTTTCCTAAATGTTAGGATGGATGGGGCGGTTCTGGCCTCCAGAGGGAGAGAGTTCCAGAGTCGTGGGGCCACCACCGAGAAGGCCCTGTCCCTCGTCCCCACCAGGCGCGCTTGCGAGGCTGGTGGGACCGAGAGCAGGGCCTCTCCAGATTATCTTAGTAATCTTGATGGTTTGTAGGGGAGAATACGTTCGGAGAGGTAAACAGGGCCGGAGTCGTTTAGGGCTTTATAGGTCAACACCAGCACTTTGAATTGTGCTCGGAAGCTAATTGGCAGCCAGTGGAGCTGGTGTAACAACGGAGTGGTTAATCTCCGTTAATCTCATTTTGTTAATAAAAGGAAAACAGCAGAGACAATATTGTGCTATTATGCATAAGAATCACTTTCCCCCCACTATTGTAATTAAACACAGAAAGAA